GACAGCTAGGTCAGAGAGGTTTCAGGTTACGGCTGCAGCTTCACACCTCGACGTGGAAGGGACAATGGAGGAGGTGACCCTTTGGAGAAGAGGCCAATGACATTCAAATGCACCAAAGAAGACACACCTCAAGAGTTTTCAAAGGACCAAAGCGGGGAAAAGACTGTTAGATCTTCTCCTGCAGCCGCGTTGATAAGTCACTTTAGACTTGCTCAGAGAATTCTCTATTTCGCGAAATATTCCACTGTTCGCCTAGTATTTCACTTTGTAATTGTAATCCCTATTATGTTGTTTAGTCATTAAATACTTTTTGATTTTTGAATTTAAACGATTTGACTCATTCGTGTCCTCGTCTCGGCCGGGACGAGAACAAAGGATTGAGGCCTCCCTCGAGAGCTTCCGCAACCCTTAACAATTCCAGTCAAAGACTGACATGTGTTAAGGAAAGTCCCATAAGTATATGTTCAAAAAGGTAATTTCTCCATATTTGAGCTAGATAATAAAAACATTCTTCCCAATAATTTCACACAAAGACCATTGTACATGTGTTAAGGACCCCTCTGACTACTCTTGTACGAAAAATGAAATAATTGCATTATCCAAAGTAGAAGTCGAAGTCCTATCCTAACAGATAACTTCTCGATGTTTGAATGGCAATGAAAATACTTTTCTCAATAAGTCCAAACAAAGACCAATGTAAGAAGGACAAAAAAGACTGGGGTATAAATAAACAAATGCTTAAATACATGTATGAATAAATAAACGCTTAAACAAAACTACAACGAGATACATAAATGTCTTAATATAAGTTGATACCTGAACAGAACATAGTTAAATAAATTTATTTCTACATTTCTGTATTTCTACCTTCATTTATGTCTACATTTCTTCATTTATTTATGTCTACATTTCTTCATTTATTTATGTATGTATTTCTGTGTCCGTGTGTTAATGAGCTAAGCGGCCTGAAGCAGGATTGGTCAAGCGGAGGAGCAGACAGAAGCAATCGATCCCCAGCACATCGCTCCTGTAGAGCACGTCTAAAAGGCGTGTGCTTAGTTAGCCATCAAGTTTATTCTCCAACATCCTTATTCTCTTTACGGATTATAGCGTCTGTTCACTTGATTCTAGCAGAGGAGAAGGACAACAAGGGGGTGATCTGTTGCTGCACCTCTTGTTGTCCTTCTCCTCTGCTAGAATCAAGTGAACAGAAGCTATAATCAGCAAAGAGAATGAGGACGTTGCAGTTGTATGTTCAGTGTCATTTGAGAAAAAAGTCTGTAAATAATGTTGAAAAGTTCAGAGAAGACTGTTTATTAAAAAAATAAAAATTATATACACACACAGTGCTGTCATTAGCATTATTTTTACTTTTTTGTTGATCTTACCGACGATAAGTTTGAGATTAGATAGATGGAGAAGGTCCATTGACAAAGGCATTCCACCAGGGGGCAGCACGGCATTGGTTTTGTAATCAAACCCAATAGTTCTGAAAAAAAATACAATCAAGAAAAAAACATAATATAATAATGCCACATATCTCTAGAAACATCAGAGCCCGGGCTACAAAGATATTAAAGCGGTTTCTAGATGCTCAAGCAAGCAATAAATAAATCCCTTCCCAAACTGCACATTTCATCCACCATCCCTGCAAACACGACCAGAGACCAAATGCTTTGTTTATCTCTGCAGAATAACAAAATATATAAAACACACACATTCTTTACTTTGTTCCTAAGAAACCTCTCAGAGTGGCAGGATAAAGATTTATGTATATATAACCTAATCTCTGAAGGTAAATCTATAAATATCCAGTTATGTGGATTGAATCAAATTCACCACAAACACCACATTCACTGAAACACAGCAGATGTTACAGTGTAGGTAGCATATGTTTTTGTAAGTTACACTGTTGGCTATTTTAATAAAACAAAAATATCAGCACTGCCATTACCTTCTAACTGGAAAATCTCTTCTTCACATAAATACAGTGGTATGAAACAGACGAGTGACACAATGAAGGCTCTTCAGCATGGAGACTGGCGTGTAAATAGACAGGGACCAGACCCCAACACACATCTCGGAGGTCTATTCAAGTGCACTTGGCATCCGTATACTTGATGTGTTTATAAGTATATTTTAAGATCAAGTTGTTCTTTTGACTTGGTGATGCAAGTACAGAAACATCTGGCTGTGGGAATGCCTGAGCACTGCAATACAAAGACAACAGAGCCGTGTGTTGGTACAGCTGCCCTGTGGTTTCTGTGCACACACACACACACACACACACACACACACACACACACACACACACACACACACAGGTATAAAGCAGCAGTCACTCTCTTATTCCTGATCTAAAGCATGTGTGTGGTGGTGGAAGGGTCAGAAATCATTCAGAACTGAATCATGCAAGTGTGACTAACACAATGTTTGTGTGAACACTTGAAGCCCACAACAGACGTAGTCTGTGAAATGGAAATCATTTTTCACTTAAGTGCTGGTAGTTTATGCTAAAAAAAAGAAAGAATCCGGGTTGATTCCTCTTCAACCTCCCCATCAGCCGTAGCGTCCGTATCAAGTACATGGATATTTGCCGCAGGGCGAAGGCTTTTACATTACAGGTCATTTAGCTGACACTTTTATCCAAAACGACTTACATTGCATTTTTAGCCCATGGCTTTTAACATTTTTGCCTGGGCAGCAATTAGGGGTTAGGTGTCTTCCTCAGGGACACTTTGACATGGGACATGGAGCAGCCAGGATTCGAACCACCGACCTTGCAGTTCCCAGTGCACCCTCTCTGCTCAATGCGCCACCGGCTTCAATTGCCGCTCTCTTTGTTGACTATAAATGTGTTTGCATCCCTGAGCTACTCATCTGGGTGAGCTGATCCCCGAAGGTCAAACATGTTTATTTCTTCTGGGATTGGATCTCCACTCTGCTGAGGAGGAACCTCGCAGCAGCCTCAGACGGGTTTGCTCAACAGGGGAGTCGGGACTTCACACTCTCAAGCATCAGCCCCTTTTTTGGGGACATGCTGTACTTTGACCTTGTTTGAACCGCAACACTATTACAATAGTATGGAGTGGTAGTGGCTTCCAACTTTAGAATCTGAAAGAGTATCGAGGCTCGACTTGCTGACTCCACAAACAGCAGAATTAAAGAGAGGGCACAGTGTGTGGTGGAATAGTGCAGGGGACTAGCTGTAAGGCTGAAGTGTGGAGGCTCCTTGGTTCAAACCCTCTCTCTGAGTTGGAGCACATGACTGCAGACATACATTTGCACAATAGGCTTTGAAACAGGTTTGAGAAGCGCAATTTCAAATTTAAATACGAGAAACAGAGAAAGCAAGGAGGATGTGGCCAAATAGTGCAAGGGAATAACTGAAGGGCTGCTGTCTCAGACCTCCTGTTGTAGGTTGTGGGTTCAAGCCCAGTCATGGGGATGAGTCTCAGGGTTTGAAAGAGTTTTGAGGTTTAACTGGCAAGCTCAAGGTGGAATAGGAGAAATTAAAATTGGCTCGATGTGAGGTGAGCTAGCGCAATAGGAAAACTTCTGTCTCAAACCTGCACTTGCAGGTTGTGGGTTCAAGCCCACTTGTGGAAATGAGTCTTAGTGTTTGAGGAGTTTTGAGGTTTAACACACATTCGCAATGTCAAATAGGAGAAACCAAGTTTCTCAAGTGTGAACAGGACTGGTGGTGCAGTGGTGAGTGCAGGGGCCAAAACCTCTGTAAGTGCCAGTGGGTTCAAATCCCAATGTCGCCAGGTCTTGAGTACGCTACTGTGGAGGTAGTAGTGGGGGCATTGTCCCCACTGGATGTTCCAGAGAAGTTGAGCCTGGGGGTTATGCAAAAACAGAAGGAGACATGGCTACAGTTTTGGTGGCATTGTCAAAAATCTTTTGGATAAAGAAATGAACTAATCAATTGCTTTAAGCTGTACATGTAGCTTTCAACTTTTTTGCCCCCACTGTGACACATTTGTGTTTCTTCTTAACTGGCATGTTTCCATGTTATACTTTTTTTCCCTATGACATCCCCCAACATATTTTGAAATTTTCCACAAGATTACATGTCATTTAGCTGATGCTTTTATCCAAAGCGACTTAAAATAAGTGCATTCAACCAAAGGGACACAAACTCAGAAGAGCACGAAGTGCAATTTCCTCAAATAAGCCAATTTGCTATGGATAAGTGGCAATATAAGTACAATTTGAGTGCTACAACATGTTAGACTTTTAGTCAAGGTAGAGTCTGAAGAGGTGTGTCTTTAGTTTGCGATGTGTTTATTTTTTATGGCATATTAAACTATGACATTTACAACATGCTCTAATATATGTTGCAGTATTTTAGTGGCACACAATTTTATTGTATTTATTATTTGCTCACCTTTTATCATACTACACTATGACATTTGTGGGCCATGAAATACGTTTACCTCATGTTCATTGTTTAAAGAGGACATTGCCTCCATCCACAGGGTACAGATAGTAACTGCATGTTTTTATGTAAGAAAATGTGAAATACTCCGTACACTAAGATCGTTTACCTAAGTGAAGGTCTATCCTTTCACAATAAAGGTTTAGCATTCAAATGTTTCACTGAAGTAAAATAATTAGTATTATGAGCTTATTATATTCAAATTGGCAAAAGCGAAAGTACAAAGTTCCTGCACAAGAACCTCTTTCATAGAGATATTGTTACTCTTACTTTATAGATGAGGTGTTTGGTCAAGTTATCGGTTGGGTGAATTGTTTGTATTTTCTTAGAAATGAGCCCTATTTCCAAAATTCTTATTAAGATAATGCAAAAACTAAGTGAAACACGAAGGTCTTTTAACAGGAAGAACGTAAAATCTACTGACCAGTAGGCGGCAATGCAAAACCACTTCACAGTCAGTGCATGTATGAAGCAGTTCACTTCATCGATCATCTTCCTCATCACCATGAAACCCTTTTCATTGGACGTCACAAGACAAAAAAACCAGACGTTTCTGTGAGGTTTCACTGATTTATTGTTTTGTTAATGTTTGTGCAGGGATAAGAGTAACAAAAATCTACAGGCTAGACATGATATTTCCTGTTCCTATCATACAATGTTATTTATACAAGTATCCTTTAACAATATGTATATATTCGATCAAATTAACCTTTTACACTTCAAGATATATTGATCATCTTTTTAAGACGGACGGAAAACATTAACGGTAAACAAATTAGCCTAAACACCCATATAGCCTGTACTGACCAAATGCAAATCTAGACATTATGTAAGTTTCAATGATACTGATGTGTTTTATCATGTTTCTAGTACAACACCATCAAAATGAACAAACACATCCTACAAATACAGCAGAGTTCCCTGTAGTGTTTGTAAGTGCAACGTTCACTCGAATTGCAGGAGAACATGTCACCTTTTTCTATTGAGACAACACACTAATATTTTATATAGAGATATTACTTTATTTTGATAAGAACATTTTGTTGATTGTATTATTTATTCATGTGTATTGGTTATAAGGGTGGCTTGTCTACAAAGTTCACAACAGCTGTCAATGTCGTCTGTGCAACGGTGTTGTCCAGCAGCTTGGTCTCCTTCTCTGACCCGTTCTTAGGTCAATGACAAATATAGTTCTTAAAAAAAGGGTACATTTTGTTTCCTTAAATCTACATTTTGAAACAACTTCCATGCAGCAATTAATATCGGATATCAGAGTCACAAAGAGTTTGTGTCGGCCCCTTTTCCACCGCTGAGACGCTGCTACAAGGAGACGCTGAGTCTCAGGTTGTTTCTGTTAGTGGTGCTGTACTGGTACCAGTCAACCTGGCCCGTATCAGTGCTACTGGCTGGTGACGCCACCACTGCCTCTGCTGCTCAGACTGGTTGTAAATATGATGTGGTATCTTTAAAATATTATATTCTTCTCAAATTATTTAGTAGAAAAAGTAAATCCCAGTGACAGTATACCATACTTCCGTTGTAATTTTAGTTTCCAAATAGTGGCTCGAACACCATCTATGTGGCCATTCGAAGAACTACATACATAATCGGATTTCACCTGGGTTTTACAAGTCACCCATGGCTGTGCCTGAAATCATCCTCGCTCACATCTCCCTATGGAATGAACTAAAAGGTGTAGCGTAAAACTATCATTTCTGCGTCTGAAAAGTTACGCACTGGTTTGCTGGCTTGAATGCAAATTTGTTACATTCGATTAAATCAATTTTTTTAAAGGGGACTATTTACAGTAGATTCAAATTCCCCACGCAGAATTCAGACACTGAAGTAAAATGGGGAACGGTTAATATAGTGGTCGACGTAGTGAATAGAGAGGGATTTCAGACACAGCTGGCACATCTACCAGTCACTGAAAACCTATAGTTGCCGGTCGGTATATATTGGCAGTGTGTGACAGGCTCACAATAAAAACGGTGCCCAAGAGTTGTTTAGTTTTAATTGACTATATCTACCAGCAGCACACACTAGATGTCTAGATAATTAGTGGTGTAATATGACCGTAAGTGTTCCCTCATAACGGAACAGAACACCAGACACAAAATCCAAGCTCACAGCATTTTGTGACCTGATCACAAAAGATTTTCATTGTCAGATTTCCGTAAACAGGCATTTTCCAGTGCGTCCCTTTTTCATCCAGCATGGCTGTTTAGCACGGTAGCATTTTATAAAAAGATTCTAGTAGATATATATTCTGTTTCTCTGTGATATTGTAATGCAGTACATAGACATCGACGAGTTAGTGTGCTGGAGCAAAGTGGCCAGACGCAAGAAGAAGCCGTCCTGCACTTTAGAAGATTATACAAACCAGGTGTTGTTGTTTATTTTGTGGTCAAGAAGAGGTGCAGGGACATGAAGGAAATCACTATCAGTTGGTTCTCCAGCGTTCTCCAACCACTGGTCATGTGACTGACCGGAGCTACATGTTACCTTGCCTGTCTGAGCACGAGGAGGAGGTGGATGGAGATGGGGAGGGCGGTTTGGGGAAGACCCTGTCGGTGGGCGTGATGCCCGGGCTGCTCAGGCCGGAGGAACTGGAGCTGCTGGAGCGGTGTGGCCCCTGGCCCGGCCCAATCACGGGGGCGGGCCGGACCGGTCTGACGGGCGGGGGCCTGAGAGGCGCACTGGGTCGACGTACGGAGATAGCAGGTTTGAAAGTGCTCATGGTCTCGGAGGAGCTGCTGCTGCTGCGTCGCTGGGCGGCATCTGGGTCCCTGATCACCATGGTGTGGAGGGGGCTGCCCGGCGGGTCCTGGGCTCCGGCGGTGTGTTTCAGGGGCTCCAATGTGTCCAAAACAACATCTGGGGCGTGTTTGGCTACGTTCTGTCGCTCCAGCTCACGCAACTCATGGAGCGCTGTGTTCATGGTTTTCTCTATGTCCTGAGCAGAAGGAAAATTATATATAGGAGGTTTTTGAAAAGATATTGAATAATCAGTCAATAAATAACTGAAACCACGTCCCCCCCTGAGGATGGAGCAGACATGCCACTGCACTTTTAAAGTTCCAGTTTGAATGACTCCTCAAAGATTGCATTATTACTGTCTAGCTCAGTGATTCCTAAAGTGTGGGCCGCGGCCCGAGAGGTCATTTCCAATAAATAAATAAAATGTTTTTAATTTTCAATTTTGAAAAGTTTGAAATTAATATAAAAATATGTCCATTGGGGCGCCCTCTTGTAGTATTAAAGTAAATATATATGAGCTCTGGGGAAAATGGTATACAAAACATACATGGCCGGTTAATACATTTTGAATCGGTTAAATTCTTAAGGTAATTTAATCATCCCTAGTTTATGTTTTGATCAGAGTTGTGATTAAAGGTTTGGGTGGGCCGCAAAAGATTTTCAGATTTCAAATTGGGCCGCGGCATTCTTGAGTTTGGGAACCGCTGGTCTAGATTATATTTAGGGTCGCTATCACTGTAAAGACTAAAATGTGATATGAATCAAATATTAAATATTGGGCTGGATAAGGCACTAAAGGACAAAATCAGTCTAAATCTGTGTAGTGTATAAACATTACAATACGTACAATACGAACTATGATCCGGTTTAAACACTCACCTCAGCGAGTGCTTCGGCTTCAAGGGTTTTGTGATCCCCTAGACTGGCGTGCCGGGTGGTGCTGGGTGAAGATCGTTGAGAGTGACCGTCCACGAGGGCCCTTCTCTCCGAGAACGCGGCGAGACGTCGCTTCTCCGGACTGTCCGCTGGGCCCCTGCCAGCCGCCAGTTTGTGTGGGCTGCAGGGCCGAGGCATGACCCTAGGGGGCTGGTCTGCAGCTCTGGGGGGGCTGTGACCGTCAGCGCCGTTCCTGTGGTGTGGACCTGCAGCTCCATCCGATCGCACCCTCATCCTGAGAGAAAAAGAAACCAAAAAAAAACAATTTGATGCTCTCTCAGTCAGAATACCAAGTGAAGTGTGTGTTGTGTGTGAAAAACAGTAAAAACAGAGTTTTTATATCACCTTCCCAGTGCTGCACCCAATTGGCGGTCACATGGAGACCGCCGGTCACTTCTCAATGAGGCTCTCTCATCGCGGTGGGGTCCACTGCTGATCGCACTGTCAGGCCTCTGAATGCTATCCGAGAATGCATCATCCCTGATACGGAAAGACGGAAGAGATTGGTCTTGATTAATAACTTACGCCCTCGCGAAATGTTGGCTTTCAATTTCCGAGAATGAAACTTGAATCAGTCAAAGAGCACATAAAAATCTTTAACAATTAACTCTCGCCACAACAACAACACCACCACTATAATGTCATCAACACAGAGAGAATTGATCAGGTATCAGTCCCTTGAAGCCACTGTTGGCAGCACATTCATCACTCTTCTTGATTCTGCTTTAATTTGTTACCAGGTCATCGGGCAAGAGTTATGTTGCGAAAACAAGAAAAACAGACAGGAAAACGGGTAGATTTTGTTTTTTACACTGATCATCGATGGGGATGCAGGTTTTATAAGCCCAGCTTGAGAGGATAATAAGAATAGAAAATGGAGAGAAATAAATAATGAGCCCAAAGTAGACCCAGGGTACTGACTTCCTGACTAGGTCACCTTTTGTGATGCGGTTTATACAAAAATGTATTTTGTACTACAAAAGTCTCCCTCTTGTGAGATTTTTTTGGTTACAAATGCATCTTACTCACATGTCTTGTACCACAATGTACTGATGTGGAATCAGACCGTCGACGCCGTTATGTCGGCCCTCCCACCAGTCCTCAGAGGCTCGCAGGTAGAGCAACAAAGAGGCTCCCTTCTTAAAGGAAAGCTCTCTCGGACTTCGGCCCACGTAGTCAAACTTTGCGATGGCCTCGATCTGCTCCAACTCTGCAGTGCAAAGAACGTAACGTGCAACACGAATGAATGGGATGGAATCATATGCAACACTTCTGGGTCGTGTCAGCTCTTACGGCCTTTGCAGTGGACCGACTGTGGTGGGTGACTCACCTTCATCGCTAGTGTTGGGTCCGGTGCCATTGTCTACCTCGTCGAGAGTCCCTGGCTCACTGTGGGGGCTCTCACTGGACGAAAGATATTGAAACAGACATTTCCAAAACCATGTTTTATGTTCATGCAAAGTAAGGTGCGTATGTAAGTTTATGTAATGATGATTCTCACACACTTTGGTTTTAGGGTTTTGTCAGTTAACATTAACATAACATTGTTATTGAAAATTACTGTATATATTTTCTTTGAATCAAAAATTTAAAAACTGAAATCCTCTGTTGATTCTCGACAACATTTTGCTTCCAAATCATAAATAAAACCCAAACTAAATCCCTAAGACGTTTGAATATGTTAATGTTTCTAAAATGGTTCTGTGTATTACATAACAAGCCCACATCCTGTCTTGGGTTCTGTATGTTTTGTATCACCTGCCTAAGGAGTGGGTAAAGTATTAGCCTAGTTTTACATGGACCACAGGCACTTTCCACATCATCAATATTTGAATCATTGAGGACTGCACAAAATGTATAGAATCAAACAAATTGCATAAGAATTTAGTCAAGTGGAAAAAGTACAAAAAGTTATTCCGTAAAGCTGTTCTGAGAAAAGTTAACGGCTGCATGTAAAAGGCAGCTTTTTTTAAAATCAACCCTTTATTTTCCCCTTTGAGGAAGAACACACTCCCAAGTAACGGCCTCATAATCCATGGACACCTTGTCTCACACTCACCAGTACTCTTCCCCACCCGCCATGCACTTTTCGTACACGGGTCCGTCCAGCTCCCGCTGGCTCGGGAAGATGACCTCGTGGTGGATGATGACGGTCTTAATGATCTCGTTAACATGTGCCTGGCAGGACACGGGGTCCTGTTCATCTGGTATTGGCATCAATGTGGGGCCGAAGCAAATGGCCAGGTTGTAGGGATCCATCATGTTCTCGTCGCTGTACTGAGACACACTGCCAAACCAAAAGCCAAACGCTATCAGCGCTGATTCATCAGTGTCAAACAAGTGTGATTTGTTTTTTTGGGGGGGGACTTACTGATTTAGAAAAGCAAACAGGTATCTCATGACGATGATCACGGACCGCTGGAGAGTCACAATTATCTGCTGAAGGTGATGAGCCCTTTCTGCGCCTGAGTCAAGCTCTGAAATAAAAAAAATAAAAAGTAGGAAAGTTACAGAAAGCTGCACTAAAGAAAAAAAGCATACTGTTACATGCATTAGATGTTTCCCTGGAATGCGACTCACTGGTCGTGGATATGAGGTCGAGAAAACGCTCTTTAGGGAACAGGGGGTTTTCCAGCCCCCTGAAGTAGAGCTTAAGGACACCTGCCACAGAGTTGATGTCATGATCGGACTGATCGTCCACCAGTGGATCCTCTCCTAGAGACGTAAACACACAATCATTCATGACTATCAATGTTAATATACACACAACACTGATGCATTCTTTTTTTAATGCACATATCAAGTTGGAAGGTTGGAGTGCAGTTATGGTTCCACATTTATTATTACTCCAAGATCTCTGATCTTATGCATTATGCATCTAAAATGGTTACCATGTGCATTACAGAGTTACATGTGACATATGGGCTCTTCATCTGCACTTTAGAGGGCCGGTTGTGGAGACCGTGGCTGTTGAGGTGGACCGAAAAACGCAATTTAAAACCAATCAAGAGAAAATGGCCGAGCGCACTGGGACTAACCTCTTTCAAATGCATTTTTAATATCGTTGACTTCGACGTGGGAGCCAGGAACTCGAAATATACCTTGCTGCTGGAGACCTGTGGCGAGATTAAGAACATGAAACAATCACCGCAGAGTTTGGGCAGCACATCAAGCCTGAAGGTTAAAGCACACTTTTGTCATTAGAAAAAGCTTAACGTGGCTGTGTTTCGCTGCGGTGGGGCAACAACACTGAATTATTATTTGGTTAGTTTGGTTATGTTCTGACGGGATAATGTTAATCGTTAATACAAAAATAAGGAGAGACAAAGTAACTGCAAGCACAGGTTACATAATTGGAAAGAAAGTTGAAGGAAACGTGTTAAATAGGAACCTACCATACAGGTTGATGTATCGAACGCAGCTCTCAACTACCACTGGAATCGGCTGCCCTGAGTCCTATCGCACAGATTTAAATGATTATTGTAAGCACATAAACAGATGATTATAGAAAACAAATAGTCATGCTTGCAGGGTTTTATCATCATCATCAGATAGAGGCAGTCCCTACAATGAATTAACTTAACAATCATTAATGTTTTCTTTAAACAAATAACTAACTAAAATGTATTAAAAAATGATGCAGAAAATGTATAAAAAAAGGTAGAGTTGTGTCTGTATTATGCAAAAAAAAGTTTGTAAGTAAAAACTAAATAAACTGAGAATAAATTATTTGTTAGTTTTGCTTATGAAACTATTGTTTTTGCCTGCAAAACAAAATAGCAAGTTTTTATTTTGCAGGCAAAAAACAATATTTATTTTTGTTTGCAATGCAAGAAATTTGCTCTCAAAACATATTTCTTTGTTTGCATAATAAAAGACACAAATCTACTTTCATAAAAATGATGTTGACACAAACACATTTACGTTACTACCAGTACATTATTTCCCCAGGCAGACAGAGACACACACATGTCAGCATACTAAAGACAGTGACTATCCCGCCCTGCTGTAAGACAGAGTACCTGACTCCTGGCCCGGACATTCCGTCTTCCCCTGGCAGAGAGCAGAAAGGCCCGCAGACGGAGGAAGAGAAGCAACGAGAACCACAACAGGTTAGTGAGAGAGACAGACCGTTCAGGGGGAGAGAAAAGACTAGGCCCGGCCCGAAAGAATAGCCGAAGCATCAGTGCCCTGTGGGGTTTTTAAACGTGGCTCGACTTCACAGGGCGAAGTCTGTGGAGGGGGGGGTGGGGGGTTTCTGGGAGGACGGCCGTTAGCTGCAAACAATTACTTTTACTATCCATTTATATAACAATTTATTGCTCCTTCATTTCAATACGCAAACTTGCCTTTTGTTCACAGCCACACAACAGTAACAGCTATTGCTTTCGCATGTGTGATCGCTTTAGCTGCAGGGCTCCACTGCTTTAGTGCAGGCTCCGTCTTGCCCGCCCGCCCGTGTTTGTTTGTTTGAACATTTGGAGGTGGCCGTTTGCTCATTTGCATAGCCGAATGTAACTGGTACATGGCCAAATGACACGAGGCCAAATGATTTTAGTGTCCGGAGGGTGAGGATGATAGGAGAGAGGATGTTAAAAGCAGACCCGACACCAGCGCAGTGCTACCATCTCCAGAACCTCACGCCCTCTTTGCTAAATTACTGGACCGTGAACACAAGGCAGCGAGCAAGAGGAAAATCAGTGCATGAGTGAGCCAACATTGGGGTAAAAAGAGTAGTCAAAGGAAAGAGAGCCCCCCCCCCCCCCCCCCCCCCCCACCCCGAGGACCGCTAGCCAGACAGCTGAGCTCACGGGGAGACAAAGAGCACAGATGGGCCAATACCTGAATGGAGGCCTCCATGTTGCCGTTAAACAGCTTACGGTAAAAAACGGAGCGAGGTTTACACTTCCGCATTCTCTGGGGTTTAGGGGGGAGAGTGGGGGGCCTGGGGAGATGGTGCGGGGTGTACGGTGGGTACAGGGTAAACAATGAATGCTAATGCAATTGGTATGAAAATACAAAAAAAACAAAACACAGAGTGAATTGTGTTGGTTGTCGTGCCTTTGCCACAATAATTTCCACTTTCAAAAACATAATATTTAAATATGATGCGCAGATCGAGAACACTTATTATTTACCTTTACCTAATTGACACACAGATGGAGCTGCCTTTAGCAGATTTAATCAAAGTCAAGTATAATGACTACAGAGAATCATCCCAAATAAAAACGCAATAAAGATTTTAATTGCATTTAATAGAAGGTAGCTCCAAACAAGTAAAAGCCAAACACTTTGTGCATATTAAATTTGAACTTGGCTTCTTCAAGAAGAACAACAGCAGACATTCTCTCCCTCTCCCTGGCATTTCATTTATTGGTCTAACATATTGTATAGATTAAAACTGCGAGGAACTTCGAGCACATCCTTCTCTGATTAGGATCAAACCCTTTGTTCAACAAACAAAGAGAAGTTGAGACGACTCTCATGTCCCCACACTGTGATCTCAGTCAGGACACTGGAAGGATTTTACACATCATTACCTACTTCATTCATCCTATTGTCATTGTCACTCTTACCTTGTTGTTCCATATTCAGCCCTCTCCCCTATAAAAAAGGAAAAAACAGCAGAGAAAGAGCCCTAATTAGTATGCACTAGTTTCACAATCACAGAAGATAGCTGTACGGTTGAGTGCTGGCCGACTATACAGGGCTGGCAGATGGAGGCGGAAAGGGGTGTTATGAGAAAAACGTGCTTCTATTCAGGCCGGCTCAATCGGGTGAGAGCCACGGCTGCATTTGACTCACCGCCAGGCAGCAGTCATTCAGCGGTTGCCCCTAGAAACGGCACAAGATTCCCAGAAGGGGGAAAACTTGTCTCCTCGCTCTGCAGAGTAAAAAAACGTATCCAGGGGCAACGGGAGAGGGGGAGCTTTCTGGGAGCTGATTTCGTACAGTGCGGCGATTTTATGACGCCTGCAGCGCATCCGCGCGCACGTCTCACTGTACGGCAACTAATGAAGGCCCCACCTCGCCAATCCGAAATGTTTGTCCGTGTGCAAAACAACGTTTCTGGCACAATCACATGTTTTGTCGAACACACATGACTTTTCTTCTTCACTGTTTTGTTAGTTAAATCAATATTTTATAGGAGGAATATTTTAACAGAGTATGGTGAGGATTATCCTTTAAGTAGAGTTATTGGTTATTCTGAATCAGATCTATGGGGTTTATGGTACTTCACCCACCTCATAAAACACCATATGTAAAGGACAGACCCGCCATCTACCATCGCTCTCCCTCCACTAATGAATTGCTCAATAAGTCTCACCTTCTCCTAGCGTCTGCTTCAGGAGGTCATGCTTTGCCTGCAGTTTGATGATAAGATTGCTGCCATTCAAGTACTCCTTGTATTTCTGCAGATGAGATGCCGAGAGAGACAATAAGCAAAAAGGTTATTTCACCGCAGTGCAGTTGTGCTCTCGTCGGTCTGAGAACTCACGGTGAAGTAGAAGCCCTCCGTCTCTTGCTGATTGGCTCGTCTCTTCGCAAGGTTCGCCTTGCTCATGTAGGAGTCAGAGGAAGCCGATTTGACTGACTCCGTGGATTGGCTGTGCTGGAAGGCCTCCGAGACGTCGAAGTCCTCCACTGTGAGCATGTCCTGAAGGGTCTGCATGGTGGCATCGAGAGTCTTCCTCACCTGACACACGCAGCATACGAACGCGTTTAATTCAGTGTATACAAAAAAAATACCCAAAAGGCAAATAGTTCCTGCACACCTCCTCGGTGTCAGAAACAAGCTGTAAGGCCTAAACTGAGCCGGGAGGACATTTTCACAGCAGCGTGACTGACGCACCGTAAACAACCGAGCGGTTGGCTACCAATCATGAGTCATCATGACATGAACGAGGAATTATGTTCCTTCCACCCGGAGGTGGACATAACACACAGGTGTGACACACCCAGGTGACCTTTAAAACACGTCCGTGCCACTGACAAAGGCCTCCGTGGCTTCAGGGCAGCAGAGGAAGGAGACTGGATGGGAGATGATTCATAATCAAAAGGTGAACATAAATGCAGGGCGTGACGGAAGTAAGGCTGCCGCTCCCAGTTTGAAACATACCGTAGCAAAGCCAAAAAGGTGAAACGCTTCAGCTGCTTTAAGAGTGGTGATTCTTAACATGAGAGACTTTCCCTGATGTTCAAACTCAGTGTTTCAGTAGTTGTACGTTTTGGGAACTTAAGTACATTATATTACATTACAGGTCATTTAGCTGACGCTTTTATCCAAAGCGACATACATAACATTTTTGAACCGTGGCTTTTTACAAAATTCCCCGGGGAGCAATTAGGGGTTAGGTGTCTTGCTCTGGGACACTTCGACATGGGGCAGCCGGGGCTCGAATCGCTATCGTTATATACGGTTATTGACGTCCTACATTAGAGCTGCAGATATCTTCAAGTCATTTTCCGACTCTCCTCCCTGGGGCCGAATTTGATTGATAGTTTAAACGATTAGACATTAATTTCCTGCCTGGGTACCTTGCCAAAACCCGGTGATATGTTCTTTAACACATTACCCGACTCAGTAGAATTTCTTTGTGCTTTGGAAAATGAAGCTGGGACACAATGTTTCATCTTATCATTAAAATGATATATTCTTTCACATTCCAATCACAAATCCAAGAATTTAGTCCCACCACAATTTGTCCCATTTCAGGGTTTCATGCAGCGTTTTCCAGCCAAAGCGGGCCACAAAGACCACATAACAGAACTGTGTACAGCTATATGGTTGCCTGGAGGGAAACCCTGTGTTTAGTGTGTGTAAGAGTTCATTTTCTTCTGAGTCAGTACAAAAAGAGTATCACTGTGTGTGGCACACTAGCAGTGAGCCTGCTAGACTTCATAAATGAAACGCTGGCCGGCCTTCAGCGTGTGTGTGAGCCCCGTGTGCACTCTTCACCTCCTCATTCTCTATCCTCAGCGTGGCCAGGCGAGACTGCAGCTGGTGGTAGCGCATCAGGAGCTCTGTCTGGACAGGCTGCTGTGCGCTCACCTGGCACACCTGGGATTAGGAAAGAAAGGCAGGTTGAACATCGAGAACAGCAAACATGGTGAGATACATACATTACAAAAAAAGGGCCTTTTACAGTCCTTTTATTCCCACGGTGACTCACCTCATCCCCCATGTGTGGCTGACAGTCAAAGCGTGCTGGAGGGCAGAAGATCTGGCTGTGTGCATCCATGCACTTCAGCTTGTCTCCTCTGGTGTCCATGGCATCCACGGCTCCCTCCAGCAGGTCCAAACCCTCGTGGCGAGAGGTCTCCAGACTATACTCTGCCGACAGGTAGGTTCTCAAAGTGCGAGCCAAGCTTGCATGGAAACCTAAGTCACAACACTAGGAGGGCAAGATTCAAAGCATTTAGTAGCAACAAACCAATTTAAAAAAAAGGCAGATAACTCATGCAAGGAGTAGACAAAAAGTTCTTTCGACATTTCCATTTTTAGTTCAGACAGAAGTTACTTACATCTATCAAGTCTGATACATCATGGATGTAGTACTTGGCCACCAGGGCATTGGTAGCTGCCAGGTTGAGAAGATAGTCGTTCCGGGCCTTTGTGCATTTCAGCTTGTTTTCAGAATACTTGGCTTGTCTCTAGGGAGAGAGGGAGAGAGGCAGTCCCATCAATGCCGGGATGTAAAATGGATTCCTAATGTAATGCAACACAGTGTTAATTTGATTTTTTTCTGATATACTCTACTCTGTCAATATATTTGATGCTTTGCACGATGTAGAGATGGGCTCCTTCCTCGTAGCGTCAACTTGAGTGTAGATATTATGCCTCTAATGCACTGCACATAACATCACATTAGAAACCCGTACACTAAAACAGACCTTCTCCTTCATTTTCTCCATCTTCTTGACTGAGCTCCGGCGCTGTGGACGTTCATCGTGTCCATAACGCAGCAGACTGGAACCGATGTCATTGGCTTTGCCGATGTGCTTCTCTTCCTGTTTCTCGGCCTCCTTCAGCTTGCTCTCTGCACTGAGACTCTCAGTGTGGTACATGTGGTACGTCTTCATCACCTGTCGTCAACAACAACAACAACAAAAGATAAACTAAGTACCAACGGCATCACAGTCTAACGTATGAGGGATGGGATTTTGAGGAGAACATCCATCGCATCTCAGATTTTTTAAATATGTTACCGGAAACTCAGTTAAAAATGTGGCTAATATTTAAAAAAAACTAATTTGTCCCTAAATGGCAGATTCTCTGAATTCTGAAGTATTTAAAATTATGCAGGCATATTAAATAGTACATATATATGACCACATGTTTTTTCAATGCATGAGTGTATATTACACATGAACTAATGTAACCCTGGAATTTATAGGTGTGGAATTACACACTGGAGGAGTTGTACAGGCGCTGCGTCTAATGTGTCCACATTATTGTGAATCTACTCACATTGGGCGGATTGCTTTGGAGGAATTTCGCATTAAGTGTCTTGAATGGATTCATGTTTTAACAGCATCATTGAAAAGATCTCAAATAAATATTTGACCAGAGACCCTGAATAAACACTGCAATTAAACGGCATCTGGTCCTCCATAGCACACTCAAATGTTCTGGTTTCCTAGCAACCCTGACGGAAACGGACGTGCAGAGGACAGCGAGATTGATCAGCAGGGGATGAAGGAGGCTACAAAGCGACAGAGAGCAACCTTCTCTGCACCCTTGAAACAAGAAACTGCTTGATTTCCTCAAAAATCAAACAGCCGATCAATAGCGGAGCCAACAGGCTGAACAAAATAAAGACCCCTAATAGCTGAGATTACATTTTAAATGTAACTCTTAACTAATAATAGAACACAAATTATACGCTGAATAAATTATTAAATGGATTGAAGCTGTATAACTTTATCTATTTCAAATCTTCACAGACTACTGCAATTTCCTGTGCTCAGTAGCTGCAGACAGACGTTTAATAATGCATGAATAACAGAGAGGGAAAATCAATACCATCAAAGCAGTAAAGTGCTGTATAATATTACATGTACGAATATTAGTATTAGCGATTCAGAGCATATTCACGTGTACCAAAAATTCTTTAAATGATCAATAACCACTGAAATTACACTGCAATTAAACAATATGTATATGATATATTTTATAAGCCGTTTACTCAAACGAACTAAAGATCACAAAAGATCCTTTAAGCACTGTTAACTTTGGTGACGTTCTAGTATCGGTAACCAGGTTTCTTCATTAATCCCATACAGTATTTACTCATTTAGATAATTAGCTGTGCAGCAATCAGACAAAGTGTCTTTAGAAACAAAATAATTAGCCGAGAGAGAGAAAGAGAGATTCTCTAGTATTGAATTCTATACAACTTAAGAACACAGCTCGTCTGAACAACAGTAGAATCAAATTACAATACATCTGAAGCTGAAAACCACTACCAACGTACTCTGTAACTACGATCATGATATCGCCGGGAAATGAGGCCCAAAGGCAGGCGCACTGGTGTGTGTGTCCCACATGCAGCAGATGATATCACTATATCAGGCAACTATGTCTTCTGTCAAATGAAGAGGCATCGCCACTGAACACAGCTTTTGTTTATCCTCACCATTTCTGTGCATTCGCACGTGCCATCTATTGCATCCGCACTACGACATATGACAATAGACCGGATGGCATGTAACGTGTGACTGCATGTAGTATCGGCTGAAGCTATAACAGCGGCTCATGTTTGCAGTGAGCACAATGCAGTTCTGCAGCACAGACTGCTGAGTCTGCTCGGAGCGTTGCCAGGGGCAAGAACGTTCTCCCCTTCAAACTGTTGTAGAAGTTTTCAGTGGGCGGAGGGATGCAAATGTTCTCCTTTCCCGACCTCGAGGGGATGGAAGAAACGGCCTGTTTGCATGCGTTGCATATCTGCTGTGTCAGGCCAGCTGTTTCGCAGTTTTACAGGTCTGAAAAAAAAGGCTCAGGATTGACGATACGCAGGCTAACTGAGGGGAAAGGCAAAGAAAGGTCAGACATGAGGGGGCAACTCACAGTGTAGAGCTCGTTGGTGACTTTCACCAACTCCTCGTGCATCTGCACCCCGATGTCCTTGCTCTGTAAAACAGAGGGGGAAAAAAAAAACAGGTGAGAAGTTTAATTTTAAGGAAGAATGAAGCCAGGTATTTGAACATATACGACCAAGAACAATTACCTTCCCTACAAGTGAAAAACTACAGCGTTGTGTGCCAGCAACATCTTTGTGTGTGAGCGATGTCAGCAGGCGCTGAAATGCTGTCATTACTCTGCACCAGAAAAAGATCTAATACAATGCCCAAAGCACACATGCAGACAGAAATAGAGCAGTGACAATGCTGCAGAGCATTTTCCAAGGAGTAGTGTCACAGTTTCAGCTCAGTTCCAGGGGCTAAGAACCTATGATGAATTGGACATGGAGCGACTCTGGAAATCCTGTCGAGGGGATATGGAGCGACGCAGAGCGCAATCAATGCCGCTTTTTTCGCAGCCTCTCGGTGACCTCTTGTTAATACAGCAGCCTTGAATTTCACATGTGACAAGAATTACATTTCCAACACATTGAGCGCAACTTTGGCTGGATGGTAGTTTCTCACACGTGGAATTCGTCAGCAGTGAGACGGCATTGCAGTTGAACCAGAATGCAGATCTTACAACAGCTTTTCTGCTATTCAGCTATTGGTCCTCCTCTTTATGCTGGCCGTAAACCATCCCAGTCTCATCAAGGCTCCCATCGTGACAGCGCAGAGCCCCCTAGAGGGCATGAATGACTGGAGGCTCATGCCGCTGTCGAACAATGCTGATCTAGGATCCCGAGGGCAGATTGTTCATCCCCGCCCTTGGATCACTGCCACTCTGCTACTTTCACACACACACACACACACACACACTGGAAATATTCCCTATTTTATGTGAACGTAAAAACCCAGAACAAGAGTGTTGCATTCTACGGCATCAACATTTTAAACAAAAGTCAAAAGTTGCATCTTATTTTCTGTATCTGCAGCTTACTGAATGAGTTTTAGTTAGTGGTAATCTGGCGTGAAATGGAATGATGGCCGCAAAGAGCATCAACAGAACATTAGTGATCCAAACAGAGGGAGCACTGAGCATCATACTGAAAATGACAATCCACATGATGAACGGGGGAAGGTTAAAACAACCAACCATGTTAAGCTTTAATGTGGACACATGCTACTCTCAGTGGCAAGTGTGGCACGTTGACGCCCTCAGGTAGCAAAAACAATACGTTGATTTTATGATTAACAATCCAATATCATAGATAAAGTGAAAACTTTGATACTAATTGTCTTTAAGATACGCCTTTATTTTGAAAAGGCCAATTTCCATCCGTTCCAGCCCAGTAATATAATTGTCAAACCGTACGCGAGTTGCTTTTGTGTGAGAACCGTAAAGCATGAAATATACGTTACTTTTTGAAACATTTCAACATCGTTTTGTTAGTGTGGCGTCGGGTCTCCAGCTGTGGGAACTAGTCATGCGATGTTGAGCGTACGAGTTCAGTGACTGTGTGCGTTAGTGACGGTCAGGGTCACGTGCCCTCATCCAGTTAATTCAGTTTCTGACCTTTTTAAAGAGTCTGATGACATCCTCGCCCACGTGTGCCAGACGGACAATGACGTTGTTGTTGTAGATGTCGCTGAGCGTAGCGTGGTCTCTGCTCTCCCGCCTGGTCTGGTCCAACACCAAATACCAGCAGTTCACAGTGGACACCAGATTCTGGTCCTTTCTGAAACACACAAGGAGATGAACACTTCGGTCCAATTCAGTAACCAATTCCTATGAAGCTGCCCGACGTAGACCAATTCAACAACCGAGACCAGACATTGTGTCGCCAATTAGAAAGGAAATTTGGTTTCACACACACAAAAAAACCCATGGCAACTTTTGCCTGAGTGTCCAACAGACCGCACGTCTCTGTTACATACGATCCATGGGTAGTGGGGCGCCACGCATTACAGATCATGGGGTCACTATGATGTAGTAATGAACCAGCAATAAAGAAGAAAGCTGTGCACACACACACACACACACACACGAAACCATGCTGACTGCACTTGTCTCTTGCTTAACAAAGCATGTGAGTTAAATTATTATCACACCAAAGAGTTTTTCTTCTTCTTCTTTTGTCTTTAGAACGCTTTAAACGTTTTTTCTGACTGTAGTATAAAAAATGCTGCATAACACTTTTTGTACACTGCTTGAATAACAGCTATGTGTAAAAACCTTCTGCTCTTGGCCGGTAGTTGACCTGTGCTGGGATCCAATCCAAATTTAACTTAATTTCTCCTTTAATGACTAGCGAGAGTAGAAGAGTGCAGTAAGTAATAATAATTAAGATCAACTCATTCATGGTTCCTACACAGTAAATATTTACTGTGTAGGAACCATGAATGAGTTGATATATATATTTCACATGGCAGGTCATAGGACCTTTACCAACTAAATTTAAGGAACCTCTTGTTTTTCTGCAGAAAGGGTTATTTTGTAATAAGGCAAGGCCAAAAGGCTGTTGTGTTGACTTCCTAGTTCACTTTATCCGTACAGCGATAAAAAGAGCTGCACTTTACTAAAGGTAATCGACATTAGCACATACGATCATTTCATCCTTTAACACAAAACCAGAACAGGCTTCCCCTATAGGCCTTCCTGTAAAGCAGAGCAGGTGTCTGATCCTGTGCATGGCTCAGCGAGCTCTACATATTGCTCTTGGCTGCTCTTGAATTTTTAAATGACCATCTCTTGTCAGCCGTTTTATTAGATCAGAAATAAAGATCCAAACAGGTCATGGGTGAGAGAGAAGGCACTATGGTTTTGCCGATAAAAGAAATAAATGTAAAATAAAAAAATAAAAAAGAGGGATTGCAGAGCCAGACGACACGTGTGGCATCATTAATGACGACTCTATGTATTGTAGTCTGTGAGTGTGAATTTAGCCTTTGACAGATATTATGACGACCACTTGATGTGACGGGGGAGAATCGGGGACAGAGAGAAGTCCCCCTTTGAGGGAACGCTCCACTTATCAATTTCCCGCCGACGGGAGCTCTTTGCCACGATTACTCTTCATGTGCAGCTGACAGAAGAACGGAGCGACCTGACGAAACCAACGTGTTTGTTACGCACGACTGACACGGCCAGGTCACACGAAAGGGTGTGCATCTGCTTATCTGTGGATCATACCATCTTTACTGTAGTGCCCTTCTTTTACTCGTGTCCAAATATTTTCGTTTTCAGGGGGTCCAAAAACATTTAGATGCCTTATTTTCGCCATTTCCAAGGCCCACGGTGCTGCGAATGATTTTTGATGATGCATTTCCTGTTATTTCTGCCCACTGATTCAAATGAACCACATGGCCATGGGCTGCACATACAGTTAGAAAATTATTTGAAAGTCACAGCGAGCTGCAGGCCGGTCGAAGCATCTAAGCAGCAGTTCTTCAACATGACTGTGGGTCATGTTTGTTTTATGACCACAAACATTTAAAACAACACGTAAAATAACCCCTTCTTTTTGCTTTCAGACTCCTCACTGACGCTCTGATTTGCTTTCAGTGTCCATTGAGAAAATAGGAGTATTTGGCACGAAGTTTAGTGTGAGAACGGAAATGAAATGACAGCCACAAAGAAAAGACGAGGGGGGGGGGTGGAGGGGTGTCTGACCTAGTTGGGACGAACACAGCAGCCTGAGGCCACAAGCTTCTTTGGCCCTGGTTTCATTTCAGGTCATTTCTCCTGCTGTACCCCCCTCCCCCTCTCCTCCCCCTCGCCTCTTTGTTGTCCAACCTTCCTCTGTGGCCCTATTCCTCTTATTTCTGTCTCTGTGCCAGTTATCGCTATGAAATATGGAAGAGTTGTGTTTATCGGTCGAAAGCCCATTCGATACCGACGGTCCGGTGCTTGGGACTCACTTGAAGTGATGGTGCTCTCTGGAGGTCCGTATTTTACCAGAGAAGCGCTCGGCCAGTTTGTCCAGGCCTCTGGAGTACTCCAGCTGGAGCTCGGCCTTTCGACGGAAGAACTCTTGCAGGTCCTGCAGCAGCTGCAGCCGGGACTCCGACTGCTGCTCCAGACAACGGAACTGCTCCACCAGCTGGTTACGGATCTCTGGGTATCAAGAAAAAGAAGAGACCATCTTCAGAATATGGGGTGCAGGGGGCGCTTGCGCGTTGGTTCTCACTCTGTGCATTCAGCATTCAGCCCACAGTCCTTTGGAAGTGAAGTGGAGTAAATATGTATATTTAAGGCGGTCAAGAATAAGCAATCATGAAAAACAAAGTTGTCATAATTGGATAAAACTGGATGTCAAAGTGCATTTGTCCACTGCGTGCATGTGCGAGTGCATGTGCATTCACAGTGGGAGGGAGAGTGGCGATGTCTAAATTCTGGGGTAGCACGTGCACATGAGATGCATGTCTGATGATTGCAGCAGACAGCACGGAAAATATAAAATAGGTCAGCTTCTCAAAATGCATTGTGCTGGGGGAGCCTTTGGAGAAGTTGGTCTTGGAAAAAACAAATTACGTGGCATTCTTTGGTTTTTAAGATCGCTGTGGTTTGCCGTTTATTAGGTTTGGAAATTTACTGCTCTGAGGAAAATTATGTTGTGGTCTAAATTTTTAAAATGCGGTTGGTTTGGCATTTACAATTACAAAGTAAAGTAGGCTAAATGAACTACATTTAAACGATGCTTGTGTACCTACAATACAGTCAATTCAACTAAAGCGGTTTCAAAATGATGGGACTAAATGTCCGCAGACTCCTTACTCCTTACTTACTTCCTTACTGGGCAGCTTGTACTGTTGGCTGATCCCGTAGATCTCAGAGATTTTAGGGGATAATAATGAAATAATAAGATAAGACATTCATTTATTAGTCCCACAATGGGGAAATTCACAGCATTGCGGCAGCAAAGTGGACAGTGCACACCAGATACATGGTAAAAAAACAAGAGCAGCAGTATAATGATACAAATTACAAGAATAAAAAAATATATATATATATATATTAGTGTTTATTGCAAGGGTGTCATATATTCAGTGACTAGGTGGCTGCTGAATGTGTTGCTGTGGAAAAAACATATATCCCATCAGAGCCAGACGCTGAGTGATATTGCTGATATCAGGATAGAGACGAGCTTATGTTCACATGGTTCACATAGCTATAATTAACCGGAGCAGACTCGGGTCCACATCTGGTTCCTGGCGACACTATTTTTTAATTGTCTTTTTTCCTTTGTTTTAAGAGAAATGGCAATCAATCACTTGGAGGAGAGGAATGTGTAGATGTGGTAAAATCATCCCAATGGAATATTGAATTCAGATCTGTACATTATACACGCAAACACAAACGCTGGAGGAGAAACAAAGCTTCACTCATTTGCGCAACATTGAGATGGCTGAAGATTCCATGACAGGCTGGTTCAAGCATGCACATGGTAGCTGCTCACAGAAGAAACCCTGACATCAATGGGAAAGAGCGCCCAGTAGAAGAAAAGTGCCCTTGTCCCCTTTTAAATGCGGTTTCTGTACGTACAAAATAAAAGGATTTCAAACACGTCTGCAAGTGTGAGCGAGAATGTTAAAGAAAGAGCCGGCACGAGAAAGACAGAGCAAATATGAAATCCCTTGCTTGTTTGGAAATGTGCCCCTCATGGTCCCCACAGTTCCCAGTTGCCTGGTTACGCCTCTGGAGGCATCTCAATGAGAGCTTGGCCAGTTTCCTTCTCTGACAGTCACAGCAGTCAGACTGTTTAGCATAATGGCCGAAGACGAGGGCAACTCGCTCTACTTTGAAATACTCAATAAATAGCCGGAGCTGATGAACGAGGCAGCAATCAAGTTTAAAATAGAAAGATATATCACTGCAATGTAGAGTGGGGGAGGGGAGTAAAGCACTGGACAGCACACCTTTCTGGCCTGTATGACTTTAATTTCTCTGAATCATGCAGTGGAAAAACAACGAGCGGACAACATAATGAGCAAATCTTATCACCGAGACATCAAATAAACTCATATTTGCATTCGCTCTCCTGTGAGCGTGTTATTTTTAGAACTTAAACTGTTACTAGGGACTGTGCAATACTGCGCCTCATTCGATGAATGATTCAAGCCCTTTGCAGAGTAATGCATAATTACGAGGAAGCTGGCGAGGAGTTCAAGTGAATAATGTGCAGACAAGTAAGCCTCAAAATATGAACGTAGCCTTTTTGTCTAATCGAAGTTTACCCATTTATAATGGTTAGTTCCTCCTTACCCAACTAGTAAAACATCCCGATGCGTTCTGGGGAATTTAACAGGCATTTTTTAGGCTGCATCCTTTTTTTTTTTTACAGAGTAACACTGAAGCAAATGAAAAGAACTTCTAAAGATGCCTAATCTGGTAGTAATTCAGCACTAAATATAGTTTTCTGAATACATAAAACTAAAGTCAAAGCAAACCCTGCACGGAATGTGCCTCAACAGAAGCATCCCTCTCATCAGCCACATTGTTGAGCCATGTCTGAAGTTTGAACGGGAAAGTACTCGCCTGGAGCTCCTCTTCTACTCTGCACACTCAAAACAACAAACCACATCCGAGTGCCAACTCGAAACACGCCGTGTCTGCAGAGGGCGACGTGCCCGGATCTCTGATGTAACGAAACAGGGGGGAAACCATCGGCCACGTCTGCCAGTGAGGCCCCTGCAATGCAGACAGAGGTCACCAAGAATCGAACGGCGAGGAGTCCTCACCACGGTAGCACAGATTAGCTTAGCACGGCTGTCGCAACGGCCTGCAGCGGTCTCTGCGGCTGTGACGGCAGTCAGCCACGCGGGGTTAGTCACGTGGGTCTTAACCCAGACTGACACGTTGACATCATTTCGGTACAAGTCAAGGCCGCGTTCTGGGTGCAGTAATGGCCGCGCTACGCCTTTACTGCCTATTTTGCTAGAGGTCTCGCCCTCGCAAGAAAGGGCATCGCTCTTTGTGCGACCACAGGACACCGAGATCCAGGATGTGGGGAGAGCCAAATTCAAAGCGTCTCCTCTCTTTAAATCTAACGTCGTGGCAGGTACCTGTCGTCGCGACAACACTGGTGCCAAGGCACGGCAGACAAAAGACATTGTTTCGCTGTCGAAACCCTGACATTTGAGGCAGTATCAGTCCAGGCCTTCTTTCATTATGCTCAATGCACACAGAGAGGGCTGTGTCTGCATACTTCTGGTGGAATCCAACTCTGCAGCAAATGTGGCTGCAGCAGAAGTGAGATACTTGCTTTGCAGCAGTCAGATTGCCAACAAGCCAGTACAACCAAATCCCACAAGCAGACAAATTAGAAAAACATTACAAATGTAACAACTTGCATTACAATTTATGTCATAATGCTGCAAAAATGTATTTTATAAAGACAATGTCACAAAACTACCACATGTCGACAGGTTACCTTGGCAACAGCAAATCTCACATATCAAACGGCGTTAAAGACAATGTTGCCCACAGCTGGAAGTACCGGTACAGCATTTCCTTTTTTTTAAATTTTCCAATACTGTTACACACAATTGATTAGGATGAATATGTTACAATGCTATGTATTGGGAATACAGCCGCAGGCCTGTAATGTGGAAAGTTAAATAAAAAAATCCTGTGCATTAGGTACGTTTGCCTGATTGAACTGCTCTGCAGTCATCCGCTCGGCATTAATGGAGGCCAGTGTCAGTGTCAGAGTAAAGCCCCCAACAGCTCCAAACTGATCTAAGGCCAGTTAGTAAATGAGCTTAAGATGTCAGCTTAAAAGCTTTTCCTGAAACTGAGTCGAGAGAACGCAATGTCTCTCTCACATCCACAGCGCTGGTGTGGAGGAGAGAGAGAGAGGGAGGGAGAGGAAGCGAGGAGGACAAGGAGTCCAACAAATAAACAGACAAAGAGAAGACAAGGGGAACAAAAACCACACCGGTCTACAAAATGCTGATCATACTCTTCATTCCTGGCAAATGCTGACAATGTTTGGCAACGTCTGCTCAAAAAAAACATCAAGCGCAGTTGAGTCTGAATCAAGCCTGTGGGAGGAGGGTAAAACGTTCATGAAGCTCTACATATTGATGCTCTGATGACTTCATCAATAACAATATTCCCTTTTGTAAAGAATGTGTTTTTAAGAAGGGAGCTGGATAGTGAGTCTCATGAGTATAATCATATGATACAAAGTAAAACATGTAAACTGGATTTGTCTGCACCCGTTTGGGCCACTTTGTAATTTACTTGTTGACTTAGATGAAAAGATTCTCATGAGTGGATGTCCCCACGGTACAACCAGCAGAGTTAGCTTAGCTTAGCATAAAAGACAGGAAGAGCCAGTCGTGCTCTGTCCAAAGATAACTAATGACTAAATATAAAAAAAAATGTTATATTTAGCGCTGTATAAAATACATATACATGTGTTCCTCCTTAAATCGTCAGCAATAAAGCAAATGGTCCTCCCAAAAGACGCTAGAGTTCAATTCACACTGCAATCCGACATGCATGTCGCAGCGTTTCCCTTTAGGTTTACAACGTGTCGGTCCACAACTTCATTTTTATTTCTTAAAAACTATGCAAAGGCTGCTCTGCTGCTATTCGGATCACAACTGGAACGCGGAGCTCAATGACTGAACCTAAACACCAAACACGACTCTGGTGTAATTGCCGACACAATTAGCTTCACACAGACATTGATTACTACGGTCGATTAAAAAAAACAAAAAAAACAGCATGTAACCGTTATCCTGGTTTAAAATATTAACTTCTAATAGAAGGAAACCTGTCCGTGTCTGCTAATAACACCAAACACTGGGAAAAAAACACTACTGTGAGAAGTTGACGCACAGAAGTGTTGTGTTTATATTTATTTATTTGCACAATTTAAAAATAAACAAACCCAGGAATAGGCGGGACTCTGCTTATTCGAAGCCTCCATCTAAATAATATAAAAATATCACAAAATGATAAAGAAGACGTAATGGTGTTGATGTTTTGTGTGGCTATAAGGCCTGTGTGTATTAAGGGGACACGGGTTCATACGCCTGAAGTTGTCTCCAAAAGGCTGAAAGGACAACCGGCCTTTACACGTCCTGCAACGTGTGTTCCAACACAGTGCCACTGTCCCTGACCCCCTTCTCTCTCTGGGTGGTTCAGCTAGTCACATATTTTGCGGCAGACAGTGAAATCCTTTCACGGTTCATAATTCATACAGACAGCGTTCATTATTTATAGACTTTCTGAACGGTTTGCTGTGTGATCTTCTCAAGCATCCCCCGCTTTCCATTTCGATAGCATTAATTGCATTTTAAAATGATGCCATTCAATGCATTCCTCGACCTTCATTAGAAATTATAAAAGAAATGTACCTCTCAAAATATTCTGTATGAATACCTGGGAGGTGCGTGACCTCCAGTCCACTGGAAGCATTGTACAAGGTGAAACGGTACATTCCCCGGGTGGGTGTGCAGCATCTGAGCAGTCTGCACTTTGAAAACAAAACATACCACTAAGCTGTTTGACCACATATGCAGTGCATGGCACAGAGAAACCGATTCAGCCACTTTGCATCTTAAATCAGACACATCCCTGGATCCCAAATGACAGGACGACACGAATTCTCTAAAAGAGATATGTTAGAAAAAATAAAAAATGGCTGTCATCTATAAGTATGCGAGCTGTCCCGCCCAACAGCAGCAGCGCACACTGAAAGCCGCACAAAGCGTGCGGGAAAGTTACGCAATAAGCGCCCTGACACCAGAGAGCAACAACAACGCGCCTCACCGACCTTTCACTTGGGTCTCATACTCGGCGATGATCTCTTTGTCCTTCTTGACTTTCCCGTGAGATGACATGTTTGGGTGCACGGCGGATTGCGCGATCCTCGGCCGGGGGGGGGGGGGGGGGGGGGTGGAGAATCAGCGTCTCTCCGGAGGGCCACGACGATGCAGCGTTCGTGCCCGTGCGCGGTCCTCTCCCCTCGGCGGCGATCAGATGCGATGCATCGGTCGCTGCGCACACAAACTTCGGGTGGTGGGGAGGGAGGGGGGGGGGTGGATCGACCGCACGTGAGGCTGCGCTCGCGTTCAATGCGCACGGCGATCCGCGTGCCCGACCACTCCTTTTCCAGCGGCACTCTTCGTCGAATGACAAATCAGTTCCCGCGTGATGCACATTTCACGAAGCCCGGTCGGAGCTCCGGGAGAAACGGCAGCAGCCTCGACGGTTGCGGCGGTGAGCTCTCTGCAGTCTGTCCGGTGTGGGCTTTCCTTTTCTCTCTCTCTCTCTCTCTCTCTCTCTCTCTCTCTCTCTCTCTCTCTCTCTCTCTCTCTCTCTCTCTCTCTCTCCGGTCTCTCCTCCTTCCCTCTGCAAGTTCAATGCTGCTGCTGCTGCAAGAAAAAAGGCTGAATGGATGTGAAAGTCAATGTGAGGCTCCTCCCCCAGACCCTCCCTTTAACCACCATTCTCCTCCTGGATGGATTAAACATGCAAAGCTTCTCCAATTTTGGTAGATCTGCATGTAGTTTATATTTTTTTGTTATATGTTTATGTTTAAACCAATACAGCTTTAAATTATCATCCTGATATAGTTTGGGGTTGATTACAATTTAAAAAAAAATCTAAATTATTGTGAAAATAATACTCAAAACTTTCATTTGGTTCTTAAATTTAGAAAAGCTGGAGTTGTGGATTCTACCTGTGCGTGAACGGATCAACCAGCTGTAATCATAGAAACGGATTTCCAGGTAGAAGAAACTGTTGTGTCACAGATGTCCAACCTGCTGCACACATTTCTGACCGATCATGTCGATCAACTTACTGTGGCTTCCCAAGGGCCACTGCGTGCCACGTCCTCCATGTCATCACCACACCAAATGTGGTTTTGTCCCAATGCAACGTAAACAGATGCCTAGCGCAGGAATAATTGAGCACTCTCATTTTAAGACTGCAATTTGAACTGTGTCAGAGAATCTTTCGTTGCCTTTGCACCCGAGGAGCTCTGTGGCCTACGACCTGTGACAAACTTTACAGCTGGGAGAAAGCTCAGCAGAAATGTGCACAACAACTCTTCAGTTGTTACGATTGAACCTCGGGGTAAGCCTAATAAAAGTTTGGAAAACAATGTGAAAACGCTGTGTCCAACTAGGCCAGTGAAACTAATACCATCCACTTATATGCCTTTATGGGAGGAAAGATCATTGCATAGTTACACAAAATATTAGTTTCCTTCAGGAGGCTAATAAAGATTCCTCGTTGCGTAAATGTAATAGTTACAGCAGTTTTTGTGGAGGTATTCAGGGATATACCTAATGTTCACCATATCAATTTGATCATTTTAAGGAGATTACTTTGTAGCTACTATGATGAACTTAAATACAAATCAATCAATCTAGTTAAGACTCGTGTTTTTTATTACCTCATATCCACTTGTGGGTATTCGTAGTAGACAGCATTAAATTATACAGGTGCCCTGAAAGAACTGATAATTAAGTGCAAAAAAAAACTTCGATAATTGCAAATTATAAAACAAAATATTCTATTTGTTTAGTCCTCATATTCACAGTACAACTGATAGAGCTCATGACCAGAGATCTATCTTAAATGTTGAGCAATTTATATGTTTATATTCAATACACTGGACATAAATGATGGCAAAAAATGTCCATACCAGTGTGAAATATTTTGATGTAAGTAGACTTTCATCATGCATTTTAAAGGTATACTTTAAATGCTGTCATAAAGTACTGTACACATTCTTTATTCTTAAATGTGATTTGCTTATCAGTTAACTCATCACAGACCTAAACCTGGAAGAATATGTACATTTAAAAACAAAAATGCATTTAATATGCTGTATTAAATCATTGGTCAGGTCAAGTCACTATGAAAATAGTCTGTGTACTGGTGCCATAGATGTACAAAGACAAACATGGATGCATTATTTATAGAACTGATACAGAAATGTCAATGGCTTAAAAGTGACACTGTGACTTAGAAATTATTGTTTTTAAAATAAAATGTGTTTATGTACAGATTCAAATCACCAGACATTTAAACATTGGTGTAAATGTTTTAAGCAAACTGTGAAATTGTGTGTGATGCTTGTTTCGTTATGCTATGTCGTTTCCACTGCGCCACACTGATCTTTTATGAAGCCGGTGCTTAAGGTCATTGACCTAATAACATATAATAATTCCTGAGAAGCTTGCTTTATTGGCTGGCAGTATTTGTAGTCGCTTCCCTTCCCGTGATAAGAATAATGATAACAACATGTCAATATGTTGTTGAATTGTAATCTGTTTTAGCATAGAATATGGCAGAATTTGTAATATATTGAATAGAGATTTTTTATTTTTTTTATTTTTTTTATAACAGTCAGAGACAAGAATGCTTCTCTTCAAATTCATCTTTGGACAATTCATGCACATTTTCCGTGTAAATGTTTATTTCAGGAACGGAACAATGAGGTGGTTGTTTCTAGTCGGTCCCGTTAGCGGAGAGCACACTCGATGTTAACTTACTTACGCTAGGCGGTCATTACAGTGTTGTAAATACCAATTGATTCCAAATATTGATCTTATTATTACCGCGGGTTTTTTGCTGTGATATCATGGGCTTTCTTAAATATGTTACGCGGGATGATTTATTGTTTAAGTTCTTGGGTATTTGATTATTTGTGCTTCCGTTGGTGCGTGACTTCCCTCTGCTGGTAGAAAGAGGGCCTGTAAACATTCCTCTTGTGGCTGCCATTATTTCTCATGCATCACATCGAGTAAGTTATGACTCACTGGGCATTCCTTCATCTACTAGTAAAAATATCAATTGAATCCCAGTATCACATACCTTGTGACAGCTTTGAGTAATAGCAAAAAAACATCCAGTAGCCCAACATGATTTAAAATGTTAAATCTTCCAAGTGCTGTTCCCATAGGAACCAGTTTTCCTGTCTGTGACGCTGTGAGGGATGAAGATGAATCATTGGTTTCAGTTTAGCAGACGTCGTCATCAGGACATTCTTGTCCCCTGTGACTGTCTTCTTATGGGAAGGAATGAAAATAAACATTTCACAATGTTGAATGGAATGTAATGTTGTCAGGGCAACGTTTCGAAAAAAAAACCCCCACAAGGACTTGACTTAATAACACCCTGTGTGAAATTAGTGCGCGCTGACATCAGTTGTTACAAAATGCAACGTGAGTTTCTTTTCCTTGTCGATGTCACTGCTGGGAAATGTTGTGTCAGGTGGCTTTTCTGTCTGTCAATAAAAGATTTTGTGCAGGACGACTAACCTGAAGAGTCTTAAATCTCCAAATATTTGAAATAGTTAAGTCACGTTGTGTGTCTGTGTATGTGGTTTTTGTGGTTTGGTACACTCTGTGCTGTAAAGCGTTGTGTAACCCTTTGACTCATTGCCACACCTTTCCACGCCTCCTAACGAACACTTGAGCCGATCTCAAACATAAGACAGAGTTGCCAGTAGCTATGGAATACATGATCCGCGGGACAAGACAAAAGACCTCTCTGAAACATGTTGTGGACAATATTCTTACTACTTAGTGGACTGCTCACACTACTTCTCCTTTACTCCACTCGCACAAGGTAAAGACATTTATTAATGTGTTGATATCGTGTATTTGATATTAAAAGACGTTAATGAATAGGATTATTATACCTCGTAATTCATATTGAATCACCTTTACTGTTATTTGTGTGTTTGAAAAATGCTGACGCTTATCTGCTGATTCAATTCATTTGGTTGTCAAGAAAAAAAAACAACTCAAATGTTCTCACAGCGTACAGTGTGTCCTTTGTTTCAACCTCTCTACGCAAAGCTATCATGACAAAAACAACTCCAAACCTTTTAGTTAAGATTCCCTAACAAATTAATCTTAATCACTTAATCAAGGGTCAGAAAAACGACCCGCTGGAAACAACCGAGTGAGGAAAGTGAAAAGCATCACTTTCCCGACCTCAAGCAAGGTGCTGCTCGACTGAACCGCTCTGGTGGAGCCGCTCCAGGGCCCGCAGATTTATGAATGGGATCATTGAATGGGATCTAATGCAAAGCTTCCCGTTGGCGTCATTTTAACAACTTCCCTTAAAACTCCACAGACAGAATAATGAGCCTCCTCTGGACAAAGGTGTCCTCCCGTGGTTGGGCCACGCTCTGGAGTTTAGTAAAGACGCCGCAAAGTTTTTGGGCCGGATGAAAGACAGACATGGGGACATTTTCACGGTGAGTTCGTGACTACGGGAAGATTTGAATGTCAAATAAAAAAAAAAAAGAAATATGTAATGTTGACCGATGGTTTTGCAAACATGAACAAGAGGTCTGTCTGCTAATCAGATTCATGATCTGAAATGCAAATAGATTTTTCGCAGGATAGCAACCAGCTTTCCATTTTAACATGACATCACTATGTTACTACTGTAACCCAGAAAGTTTCACAGAACGTCTTTGAGCAAAACACTGACTATTCCACACAACCTAAAACTAAAGAAAAAAATGAACATACTTTTTAGAATAAACCCTAAAAATAATGGTTTCAAATGTTGCAATTTAAATGAATGAAAATCAAACTAACTAAAATGATGTCCTCCCAGGTCCGCGTTGCTGGGATTTACCTGACGGTGCTGTTGGATCCAAACTCCTTTGATGCCGTGATGAACGACACCGTCTTCCTGGACTTCACCCGCATCAGAAACAAGCTCTTGCAGCGGGTCTTCGGTCTGCAGCTGCCGTGTATCAAACCTCAAGCCGAGCGGAAGTGGATGGAACAGTAATGAATGCATGCATCTAAACACGTACTTTGCAGTCAATAAAACGACAACATGAACCCTGCCCTTCAACAAGGATCGTGAGAATCTTTTCATTGTTTCCTCAGGCACTTTCAAGGTGTCAGTCTCTCAAAGCTCAGCAGCTCCATGAGTGCTCACCTTCATAGCCTGCTGCTGAGGAACCAGAAAGAGTTCAACCCTTCGGAGTGGAGGCAGGACGGACTCTTCAGTCTTTGTTACAGCCTACTCTTCAGGTAACACGCGGCTCTGGATACCCTGCAACAGACTGTAGATCAAATGACGTCACTGTTTATACCAACAGTAATCACAGACAAGATCTTGAACCTCATTGTTGACCTCAGGGCCGGTTATCTGACGATGTTTGAAAGGAGAGACGATGCTTCTGCAGTTTACGAAGAGTTTCGCAAGTTCGACGATCTTCTCGCCAAACTGGCTCGTGGGTCGCTCAAGCGAGGTAAGCTGAACAATAGCGAACGGAAGAAAACTTGTTTTGCTTTTGCTTTCCTGCTCGGCCTCCGCATGTGCACAGCAAGTATGCGTGAAACAACCTCGTTCCTTCAACAGGTGAAAGCAAGACAGCCGACTCGTGCCGGGGGCGACTGTGGGAGCTGCTGTCCCCGAAACGTCTGAGTGGAGGGTCAGGGTCGAACTCCTGGCAGCAGAGCTACCGCGGCTTCCTGCAGGACGAGGGAGTAGATGGAGAAATGCAAAAAAGAGCTTTACTGTTGCAGTTGTGGACCACACAGGTGAGAGCTGGTTCCACTGGCTTGTCTCAATGTGCCGCAGAGAATGATACACACACACACACACACACACACAGGGCCACACAAACGCTCCACATTGTGTGCTCAGCCTGTCTAAACATCTTCTCTAGCAGTTGCTCAGAGCTACCTGCCTCAACTTGTTACTCAGAGTGGAGTTTGGCCACGTGTGTTGACGCAGACCAGTTTCCATGACACCGTGTCTCGTTTAAGGTCAAGTAATTACACAGCAGTACGAGTGAGGAAGAGGCTTGCGTGATTCAGTTGAAGCCGCTTCCTCCTTCTCTCATTTTGAAGTGCAAGCACGCAGTTGCAGGAGGTCATGTGCAGGATGTGTGCAGTCACTCTGGTTTTCTACACGGCTTTGTGTAGTGCAGGACCTGACGCCTTATTGATTCATAAATCCTATATTACTTACCGATTTTATTATTAATAATGGGTGTGAACACAGAATTGTCCGCACTGTAAGAGCAACATGGTGTATTGGCTCTGTGCGGCCACGTGGGGGAGATAGCAAGTTGTTTGACTGTCCTAGTGGCTGCTGCTCATTCATACTACATTTTAGCTGCAATAGCTTTTTAAATACCAGTCTGACTTTATTAATAGTTGTTCAGCCAGTAATAAGGAGAAACTTTAGCCAGTCCACCCACTACAGGCTCTTTCAGATGCACTGCTGGCTATTCCCTAAGCGTGTCTATTTGTGCTTTAACCTGCCTTTTGGGATATTAAAGCACACACTCTCGGTCTGGGAAGGAAACTGGAGCACCACTGCAGAGAATAGAGGCATTAGATGCGAGTCCAGCGGGATGTGCCGGTGTAAATGTGGCTTATTCTCCAGTCACAGGCAATGCTGGGATTTCACCAAAGCCACATACCAGTTCATCCTGAGTCGGTAGCTGTTTTTTTGTTTCCTTTGCAAACAAGCTTGTTGCCTCATTTTACATCCTGTTAGTTTAATCTGTTCAGAAGCATAACATCTGCGAATAGAGCAGTAACATATGCAGATATTAAAATGTATGCGTATTTCCCAAAATGCTATTCTACTGAAAAAACAATTTCATTGTGAGGCATTAAATCTGTCGACCCTGATGATCCAAGAGGGCGGAAAGTCACCGTGTGCCCCCTTAAGTCGCCTGTGGGCATTTTCTCTGGCGGTCAATGGAGAGCTGACCGGAGATGTGCAGAGGTTACACGCAGCTCCACTAACCCACAACAATTACTGTCTGACAAGCTCAGGTGATCTCCTCAAAGGGCTCAGCGAAGTGTGTGGACCTCACGTCAGTCATCTTCACACAGCAGCATCACAGAGAGCTCCATATTTACTATCTCCACAATAAATGCATCGCATTACAATGTAAAAGTTGTTCACACTAGAAGCTCGCATGAAGGAGCTTGTGCTAAGTGGGGTGTTTTTCTTTAAGTGCAACGCTGGACCGGCTGCCTTTTGGCTCCTTGGCTTCTTGCTCACTCACCCCGAGGCCATGGAGGCCGTCAAATCCGAGATCAGAGGCCTCCGGGACACCAACCAGCAGCATCCCGCCGCCATCACCCTGCTGGAAGCACACAGCACACCTGTGCTCGGTACGCAACAGCTGCTCCTTTCCACCTACTTACTCAGCTAGCGGGTTGAGCCTCCCCCAGAGAGGTGGAATCAAAGGCTCATTTGACTTGTTGATAGGAACAAGATAAGTGCTGCATGGGGAGACAATGACAGCGTCAATACAAGTTTGACCTTTTGAACAAATTAAAATAGCGACTGTCTTTTTCGTACGTTGTAATTTCCGTGCCATTGTTTGTATCTCTGGCAAATTAATCCCGAGGGCGGATTGAACTCACGCTGCCACCCGTGTTACATCCTCCGCTCTGCCGGCCTTTTTCCATTCTGCAGACAGCGCCCTGAGCGAGACCCTGCGGCTCACCGCCGCGGTAATGATAAACAGAGAGGTGGTGCAGGACAAGACCCTGCTCATGGCCGGCGGGAGGAGATACCACCTGAGAAAAGGGGACAGGGTTTGTCTGTTCCCCTTCCTCAGCCCTCAGATGGACCCACAGATCCACCAAGAACCACAGGTGCTTTATTTATATGTATTAAAATAAGAGCATTAATGTCACACACGTGGAAAACAGGTCTTATGATGTGCTCGCGATGTTATCACTTAATATATATAGTGGAACACGGGGCCTCCGCTGCCATAATACCTGTGTGGCTCTATTGTGATTTCATATTGTGAAGCGCTAAGCAATCTTGAGGAGGAAGGATTAAGCAGTGTGATTGAAATTACCAACAGAATACATCCTTTGGGATGAGCTGCTAAATGCCTACGAATGAAGTGAGTAGGTGTTGACTTGCAAGAGAACAAGATCAATTCCCCATGTTCATTCTGTTTGTCTGTGATAATTACAGATTATGTGAGTTTATTGTGTTTCTTAAAAGGTGATACTTCCATATTATTTTTAACAACAAAATAGAGCAAGAGATTTGGGATTAAACCTGTTTGCATGATATCATAATGTACACATCTCATGCCTTTATGTTTGTTTGTTTTTAATCTCCTCTCCAACAGATTTTCAAGTATGACCGCTTCTTAAATCCCGATTCCACAGTGAAGGATGAATTCTACAAAGATGGAAAAAAGCTGAAGTACTCCACCATGCCCTGGGGTGCAGGCAGTAGCATCTGTGTTGGGAAACAGTTTGCTGTCACAGCCATTAAACAGTGAGTATAAAAATCTGCCGGTTTTCAATCTCTTTAATTTTCCGACGCTGCACTGAGGGTTTAAAATTGTACGTTGACGATCAAAGCCTTTCCTGCAATATAACCCCATCAAAGAATATCTCCACATAACAATTCCGCTATTATTTTCCTGCTTCCTTTTTCATCTCATTTTCATCAACAAACTGTGATATAATAATTGGTTGTGCTGTCAAATAAACTGCAGGGTTAAAGAAATAGGGCGGCCCAGGTAAAACCACAATAGGTTGTTATGTCTTGCAAGTCACTGATTGAGCAAGATGTAAAACAAAAAATAGACACGGAGCCGGTGATGGATGTAGCTGAGGAGAGGATAGTAATTTGGGAGAGCATGCGTTTTTCAGACTCTAGATCCAGTTGTAAAGGTTAAAGGTCAATCCTTACAAGTAGTAAACAACACAAACAAAACGGTTATATTCAGGTATTTTGTATTTATGTCAGATTGGTTGATTTACCTGGTGAGATTTTCACAGAATTTCTGCATTTACCCGTCTGATAAGTCGTGCTGGCCGATCTGTCATTCTAAACTGCTTTTGCCGCCTGTTTTTCTAGATTTGTGTTCTTGCTCTTGACCAATCTTGATCTGGAGATGTGCGACCCGGAGGCCAAACTGCCACCAGTTAATCCCAGTCGCTACGGCTTTGGGATGCTGCAGCCAGACGGAGATCTGCAGGTCTCTTTCAGGCTGAAGAGGACACCGCGTGCAATGTGAATACTTTGATTAACTGTATATAGCTGTAAAAATTAATAAAGCATTTGTTTTATGTACTGCCAACACTATTTACCATTTTATATTGAGAGTGAATATATGTATTGTATTTAACTGGTTTGTCATTAATATTTTAAATTAAAAAAATTAACCTGGCGTGTATCGAATTGTATTATTGTTATCTCCGTACAACAGCTAAATAGTCGTAGGCGTGAAAGGCTGATTGTTCAGGGCTTTGAAAGGGAAGACCAGGTCAGTAGTGGGGTCTGAGGGCTCTGGGCTTGGGTTAGAAGTCTGGTGGATGCGTTCCGGACCTGTTGGGAGTCTTTTCATGGGGCGACATCTGATGCCAAAGAGGAGTTTGTTTCAGTAATGAAGAAGGAAGAAAACTGTTAACGGGTGAGGCACGGACCAAAAGGCAATACGACAGACAGCAGCAGCAGTTCCAGCAGTCACCGGGAAACGACGTGGTTGGGGACGGAAGACTGGGTGGATTACCGGGGCGAGACGTGGGTAGTCCAAGACAGGCCGGGACGGCAACGGGAAATCAGTCCAAACTAAACCGCTGGAAGGTTCTGCCATGAACGCGGTGAACGATCTGGCAGCGAGTGAGCGACTGACTGGGGTTTAAACACTAAAGGGAGCGAGGAGGGCAGACGGGTGGGTGGGATTGGGCTGACGAGGTGAATGTGACTAGCAGGTGAACAGAATGAACCGACTAGGTGGAGTGAGGGAGAAATGACAGCGCTGTGACAAAAACAAGACGTTTATCTACTTTTCAGCAGCAGGGCGTGTGAGAGAAGGCCCGTTTGTGTGCTATGTACTTTCACGTTGTACAATTTTAAACTCAGGACTTTTACTTGTACTGTTTGTAATGTAATGTAGGGGACCTGAATACTTGTTCAACCATTGTTCAGCCTGAGAAATAGAAGGGTAAACTCAGCTATTCTTGCCATATTAAGCAGCACTATTATTTTCTCTGAACATCAACCATCATGTGTAGTCTACCAGTGGCTCTCTGCTGGCTCTGTGCTCTCACATCTTCTGCTCATCCATATTTCATGTGCGCTGTCATTACATGGCGCCTCTATCTAACAGCACACCCTAAGGACGACCAACAGTGCCTCGGAGTGAGTGTGTGTGTGTGTGTGTGTTTTGTTTTTTTGTGTGTTCATTGATAGGAAGCTGCGTGCAGACGTCAAGACGCAGCGCCGAAAGAGTTAATCGGATGTCGGAAGACGGCGCCGAGCTGCCATGGATCCACTTCGGGAGCGATGCGGCGCCTCCTCACGCAGCTGAGCGGGAGCATCGCGCGGAGGATCGCGGGGAGTCTCCGGCTGACCGAACGGACTCCGGTCGAATACTTGTTGATCCTCGAGCCCGAGAAACCGGTGCGAGATGCGGAGCGGCAGATGAATCCCTCTGCCATGTCGGAGGCAGAAGAGGGGGAAGCGGATCGGGTTAAAACATGGCAATAGCAAACCAACAACGTCGCCCCTTCTGTTTTCTTTTTTGACATTTTTATTTTTTTTGAACGCTTCCTCTCCGCTTGCGCACGGAGCAATGCGCGCTGGTTCGATTCCGTGGAGGATGACAACTCAATACGGTATTTAATCCCAAAGCTTATTCGACTTTGAATCCTGTATGTAACCCAGCAATTTTAATCGATTATCGGTGGCATGTGGGGAATATTCGCAATTGAAACTGCACCAATATGGAGCAGGCAGCCTTGGACAAACAGGGAAACGCTGGGAAACGACGGAGGATTTGGATTCACAACACTGTCGATGATTAAACATCTACAAAATGAGCTCATTCTCAGTCAAACGCGTAGCTGCACATGGCAGTCCTACGTTATGTCCACATAATGGGGTGGGGAATGTTTATTGGGCCAAATGCTAATTGTCGAGGCATTGACTAAAGTAGAAAACAGGAGGGTGGAGGCTTCTTCAAAATGAACATTTATTGTTGTTTTACCTCTTCCTCGCAGCCGGTTACTGCATAACCCCACATGACAATGCGTTCACCCTTTATTACACAGCCCCCGCTCTCGCCTTTATCTCCGATGTGTAATTGAGGCTGACATTATGCACGGTCCCAATTGCGTTTGTGAAGTGTCCAAAACTTTGCGTGACAGCTGTCAATGATCACATCTGCAGGGCCGAGGTGTTGTTTGGCTTTCCACGCTCTCACCCCACAGACATTAAACCAAACGAACAGCCGGAAAACCCAAAAATAAATAAAAAAAATGTGCGACTGGTGCCACGTCTTCAGGTCAGGGACGAGCGATGAAAGCGTTGGACATCTTTTATCTAGACATGATGTAGCCTGTGTGTCTTCTTCTCCGTGTCAACCTGCCTTCCCCTGGAGGGGGGGAGGGAGAGTGATGATGGGAGTGAACAGCGCTTCCTGGTGTTTCAGCACCACCCGAGTGGACAGCGCACACGTTGCGCCGCACTGATCGCGGTGGTGTCCCGCGTCCCCGCCCGCAGACCAATCACTGTGAATATTTTATTAAACGATGATAATATTGCATCAGTCGACATATAGAGATACCTCCAGAAAATAGGGTCGGTGCGAGCTCATTGGAAAGTATTTGGTGGGGAGTTTTCAACAAGGCAGAATATTTTTCTATTTCTCTGAGCCTCAAAAAGAAATGTGTGATTCTGGACACTGAGTTTTAGTCACCTCAAGAATTCCCATCTTACATAAATCGATATGATGGTTATTTTATTTTACAAATTAAAAAGAAAATAGTATTGAACTTGATATAAAAAATACTAGTGTAATTTATCTGTTTCTCTCCCCTGCATCCTTTAAAAAACACAATTTCTAAATTATTATTTCTATTCCTTACTGGTTTTAAATGATGAGGGTTCTCTAGGACAAAGATGTGGCAATAATAGAAAGACTCAACTAGGAAATCTTTTATTTTCCATCAGTTCTTTAAACAATGCATTTTGAAATTTGGTCTCGAGGACTTTGCAGTTATAGTCAATCACTGTAAGCAAGGCCTAATCAAACAAACCAGGCAGGAAACCAGTGACTATGGACACAAGTTGTCAATCATCAACCATGGAGTAATTTTGCTGTCTTGAATTTGTTTGATTTAAAAATAAACAAATATATTTATATTTTGTTCTTTTCTTCTGAACTCCTCTTTTCACCTATCAAATGTATCTCATACCTTTTGACCTCCAGGTCAGGAACCGCTGGGGCGGTGGCCCAAATCTTTAATCATCAGCAAAGAGTCAGATGATTGAACTGTGCGTCTTGAAACGTGAGGCTAATCTAAGATACTAATGATTTCTCAATGTTTGTTTTATTCCATTCCATCAGGTAAAATTATGAAAGAAAACAGAAACAGCCGTAGTCCACAGCCCTGGATGTTTGCCTGATTCCTCAACCTAAAGTCATCATGGAGAAACCCTTGGTCGAGTTGAATAAAGCTGGCTCACAGTCAACGTCATCGCTGCCCCCTGAACCGGTGGAGATCATTCGCAGCAAGTCGTGTTTCCGCAGAGTCAGGCTGAACGTTGGGGGTCTCCCGCATGAGGTTCTGTGGCGAACATTAGATAGGCTGCCACGGACACGTCTGGGAAAGTTAAGAGACTGCAACGCCCACGAATCTCTGATGGAGGTGTGCGATGACTACAACCTCGAGGAGAACGAGTACTTTTTCGATCGACATCCAGGGGCGTTCACCTCAATCTTGAACTTCTACCGTACTGGTAAGCTGCACATGATGGAAGAAATGTGTGCCCTGTCCTTCAGTCAGGAACTCGACTACTGGGGCATTGATGAGATCTACCTGGAGTCGTGTTGCCAGGCGAGGTACCATCAGAAGAAGGAGCAAATGAATGAGGAGCTCAAACGAGAGGCCGACAATATGAAGGACAGAGATGGAGAAGAGTTTGACAACACGTGCTGTGCCGAGAAACGGAAGAAGCTTTGGGACCTTCTGGAAAAGCCGAGCTCATCTGTCGCGGCAAAGGTAACGGTCTTTGGATGACGGGTGTAGGATGAGGTTGGGGTTGGTCGGGGCAAACCTCCCCCAGCATTATGAGGATTTACAAAAGGCAGAAAATCATGAAATCTGCAAAAACGAATGCAAACACGCAAATCTAAAATGCTGATGCAGCAGTAGAACTTTGTAGTCAATCCGGAATGAGACAGGGAGCCAGTAGTGAGTGTGGGATGGAAGCAGGAACCTGGCAGGGCTGTTTTGGATGTATTGTAGTTTCTAACACCAGCATGTTAGCACCGTCATTGTGTGCATGTTGGCATGCAGACATTAGCATTGAGCTCAAGGAAACCATCCATCTTCAAACTGATTATCCTGCACACAGGGTCGCAGGGGGGGGCTGGCGTTAATCCCAGCCCACTTCAGGCGAAAGACAGGGTACACCCTGGATTGCACTCACATCCATGTGGCAATTTAACCCAACCTCCAGAGCATGTCTTTGGGTTGTGGGAGGAAGCCGGAGTAGCCGGAGAGAACCCACGCAGACACGGGGAGAACACGAGTACCTAAATAAGGCATCGCATTGCATTGAAACTGTATATGTTGAAGTCCCTCTTTGAAGTAAGTAATGCCTTTAGGCACCGAGACAAGTCGCTCGAAATGTGTTGCCTGTAAATTACATTTTTTTCCAACGATGCGGACAGCGCAAGGGAGCAGGTAACACCAGGGATGACGTGGTTTTTAAGCTGTTTTTAGACGTGCTTAAAAGTGAAAGTACTGTAACCGCTCATCAATGTCACGCTGGCCGGAAGAAGCCAAAGAAATTTGCAGAGGCGGGCTGGTGAAAGTGGTGGCAACAAATACTGATTAGCATTAGTCAATTAGGATGAACTACACACAGGGGCAGCGTCTGAAGCAACGTGTCTCAGTATGGTTGACACCTTAGGGGGCTTGCGCTTGAGTTTGAATTGGAATATTATAGGATGATATCATTTTTTGAAAACTAAATCTGCTTCCTATGAAAATTTCATCTGGATGAAACTTTAAGGAATGTCACAAGATTCATTATCTGTGTCTAAGGTTATACTCTTATTACCACACTTGTAATAAAAGGTCATTGTCATATTTTTAGTTTGCTTTTGAAAACATGTGAGCTAACTGATCCCACATTACCACATTCTTAAGCATTGCAACATGCATGTGTCCCACTTTGTCCCACTTTGTGAACTGATAATCCAGTGAATTCATTAAATCCAGTAAATCAGTCAAATATCTCTCACAAAACAAATGTAAGTCATTTGATTGCTTCTTTGTGAGAACCCTACCCAACATCATCCTGGGCCAATTTAATTTAATTTACTGCAGGAAGCTAAGTGAATTAATATATTTTAGTACATAAACAACAACTCAGGATCATTTTTAATTGTTTGATTACATTCATTCGCATTAATCAATGCTTGGAAGGAGCATTTTTTTCATCAATAGAATGTGTTTGTGTCATGGAACATATTTCAACATTCAACTACAGTAAAATATAAATTTTATCAAGGAAGACAGGTTTAGTTTGCCACCGTTTAGTGTCTCTCATGTCAGTTAAGAAAGACCACACCTGAGCAGTATGTTTTCAGTATAATTTAGGAACCCTGCCATTAGTATTTAACATCTGTGTTAAATGTCATGATTAAATGACAAAGGAATCATCCTAAACGATAAAGATAAAGATCTCCTTATCTTTAAAGGCATGGCATAGCGTGTTGACTTATTTAATGTGCTCACCTTTAGTCTTTAACAAAAAACACAGAGTTGCCCTGCAGCTGCAACCTCAGAGGCCACAGCGGAGCCAGAAACGATTCGCCTTTGATCACGTTATCTGACATTGAATTGGAGGGATCAAAGAGGATGCCGTTTCTTTTCTATATGATTTTAAAGGGAAGCACGGTGCCCAGTTTGTGAAATGTGGAGGAAATGAAACTATTAGCAGTATGTGCCGGCTGATGCTTCGCAGCGAGAACGGTCAGCGCTGCTCCACAAACCGCAGACGCAGAGAGAAAGAGAGAGATGAGTGCTGGGAGCCTGTCAGTGAAACGTCTTCTTCAATCAAAGAGATCAATGCTTATTGTGTTCGAGCTAAGGAAGTGCAGTAGAAAACAGAGAAGATCACTCTAAGTCGGCCACACGCTGCTGTCTCCATTGTAGCATTCGAATATCTGCAGTTGATCAAAACAACACCGGAGGACAGTTTAGAAGAAGCACAGATGTGGGTTCTTCCCTTTGAATAATAACACAACAAGGTGCTCGTGCACATTGCCTGCTGCTAATCTATGTCTCCCAATAGCCACCAACTAATGAGTGGGTGCAAAAAAGTGTTAATCGCTTCTCTCGGCATCATTAGGAGCTCATAGCGGAAGATGTCATGCCAGAAAAAGAAAAAAAAGAGCAACCTTGACACAGCCAGGGGCAGAGTGGACCAAATTCTAATTAGCTGAGAAGGTCAACGTGAAACCACAGATCAAACTACCAAAGCATTGATAGGGGTTGATGTACGGTCTTGGTCTTTCCTTAATGGTCTGCAGCGCGCTGTGGGCTTGTCGCGCGGTCCAGCGCCGACCACAGAGCGTCCCGGCGTGTCGGGTCAGAGATGGAAACGGGTGTCTGACCTCTCACAAACAGCCGGTGAATGGTCGAGTTCAGCACTGAACAAATGGTCGCTGAGCAGCAAAACTATAATTGTGTCATCACTGAAGAAGTGGTACTTAACATTGGACTAAGTCTATTTGTGTGTGTGTGTGTGTGTGTGTGCGTGCGCACCCCTGCTAAGTTCCTGTATTTAAGTGCGTCCACAGAGCAACACAGGAAAAGCATGTTGTCACTGAATTATTTGTTAAGACGTGCAGGGAAAAATCCAGCCTGTATTCTTTCTGTCCTGTCATCCTTTACCTCTATTGGCTCATGTCTCTGCTTCCTTCCTCCCCTCTTCAGGCTGCTCCACTATACCTCTGACTAAATGTCAGGGAAATGTCACGTTAATTATTCTCCAGGAGACTCCAGGCCCAATTTGAAGCTTCCTTTTCTCTCTGTTTGCATTCTTTTGTAAGCCACGCTATTGTCTGTCTCTCGCTCAAATCAGATTTGAGTCACCGTAAAACAAGATTGTGTCTGTGCGCTGACGGAAGCTGCTCGTAACAGTTGACTGGCAAGAAAAGCCCTTTTCCACCTGTAGTGGCCTTTATGTGATGCCATGAGTCATCTGGATGGTTTTCACAAAAGAATTGTGGGCTTCACTTAAAAACAAACATTCGTTTCTCATGCTGTCACCTCCAAACAAAGCTCACTGAGAGATTTAAGAAGTAATGAGACTGAATCTAGCTGTGGAATTTGAAAATTGTTCAATATATTTCACTGTCCCAGGACATATTATTGAAGTAATTCAACTAATTGTATTTGGGATAGTTTGACCTAACATTTAAAAACGGAAACAAACATGAAGGTTTCTGTCAATTTGTCCTCCGTGAATCAAAAAATGTGAATGTGCATCAGATGACAGGAAACAAAGTCCAATCATGCTCCTCCACACGAAACCACATGTATCCGTCACCTTTAGTGTGGTATACACTAAAGGTGACGGATACATGTGGTTTCGCCAAATTCCTCAGCAGCAGGATCCAAGACACAAAGCACTATTTCTGACAGCCAGAAAAGTCTCAATAAATCAAATGGATGATGATGGACTGTAAACAATTGACTAGAAAGATGTGTCCCAATTCAGGGGCTAAATCATCCGGAGTCATGAAAGGAATAAAAACACTCATTTGAACGCAAACCATGAAGTTAATTAAGTGCCTTAAATCCAATAAATCATTTTCCAGAGGTCTGAGAGGCCGTCAGGCTCATTAACCGTTTTCGATGTCTGGACTGCTTCATTTGGGTAAGAGGCACAGCTTCAGCCCGGCCCTTGTATCATGGCCGAGATCCATCCACCAATTGTTTTTGACTGCCAGGTTTTAACTGCCAACGCATTGAGACGGCCTCGTCGTGGCCGTTAATGGCCGTCTTTCAACCATATTTGACATTTTAGTGCTGATAGATTAATTCAGCCGGTCTAAACGCTGGAGAAACCAGTGTGACTCTGGAGTCACAGGCCGTTTTCAGGAATTGGTTCTGTTTGGTCCATTTACTTATTGGTGTGTTTTATATACTCTATGATTTCACTTTGAAGGAAAAGGGGTGTGGATCTCATGGGTCAACAGGACAGTTTCTACCCTGTTGCATTCATTCTTAAACCTCCATAACACAAAATGTCATTTCCGTTGTCAGGGCAAACTTGTTTTGTGCTTTCTGGGCACACACAGCCATCAAACAAATATTTATTGCTGACCCTAACCCAAAACACGATGATGTTAAGCCGGCTATTTCAGCACATTCTCACGGGACTGAGTCAATAAACTTAACCCGATTTACTAACGTCACTACAGAGAAAAACAAATCAGGTGACTAACGACCACATTTACAAAATGTCAACTTCTTCCAAAGCAAACACAGCACCCCGCAGAGTGCGCAGGGTGCTGAGTGACCATGCAATACTCAAGTCACGAACATATCAGGCCTTCGCAGGCTATTCGTCAATGTTGTCTTATCTGTATGGCGCTGAGACATAAACTAGGATCATGTGCACTTGGCTATTGGAGGGCCTCAATGATCGCGTTCATGCCGTTCTGCCTGTCAGGGGAATTGATCCCACCTGTGACCTGTTTTGATGACACACAGACACACTTATACTGCAAACATTGTTCAGTGTATAGAGTGTTGAACCACAATTTATGATTCTCATGACTGAGAAGCATGGGAGATGCAGGCATTCCGACATACGGAACAGACATTTTATTTGATGAATATGATGAATGGTGCTTCCTACGTAATTGCTGTGTATTATTATTAATGAAGGAGTGTGACAGTAAAATAACCAAGCCTGCACACCTGCACATTGATGGACTACAAGGCAAAATGGCAGATGTTTTGAAAGCTGAGCTTCT